TTATTTTCACATTTTTAAATGGTTATTTGAAATGTGATCATATGGACCATAGCCTTGTCTAACTCAATGAAACTATAAGCCACGCTGGGTAGGGCCACCTAAGACGGACAGGTTATGGTGGAAAGTTTGGACAAAACGTGGTCCACTGCAGAAGGGAATGGCAAACCACCTCAGTATTCTTGCCTTGAGAACCAACCCCATGAACAGTAAGAAAAGGTCAAGAAGCAACAGTTAGAACTGGACATGGAACAACAGACTGGTTCCAAATTGGGAAAGGAGTACATTAAGGCTGTATACTGTCACTCTGCTTATTTAACTTACATGCCAGGCTGGATGAAGTACAAGCTGGAATCAAGATTGCCAGGAGAAATATCAATAACCTCTGATACACAGGTGACACCACCCTTATGGCAGAACGTGAAGAAGAACTGAAGAGCCTCTTGATGAAAGTGAGACAGGAGAGTGAAAAAGCTGGTTGAAAACTCAACAATGAAAAAACAGATCATGGCATCCGGTCCCATCATTTCATGGCAAATAGATGGGGAAGCAATGGAAACAGACTATTTTTTTGAGTTCCAAAACCACTGCAGATGGTGATTGCACCCATGAAATTAAAAGATGCTTGCTCCTTGGGAGGAAAGTTATGACCAAGCTAGACAGCATATTATAAAGCAAAGACATTACTTTGCCAACAAAGTTCTGTCTAGTCAAAGCTATAGTTTTTCCAGTAGTAATGTATGGATGTGAGAGTTGGACTGTAAAGAAAGGTGAGTGCTGAAGAATTGATGCTTTTGAACTGTGGTGGTGGAGAAGACTCCTGAGAGTCCCTTGGACTGCAAGGAGATCCAACCAGTCCATCCTAAAGGAGATCAGTCCTGAAGATTCATTGGAAGGACTGATGCTGAAGCTGAAACCCCCAATACTTTGGCCACCTGATGTGAAGAACTGACTCATTAGAAAAGACCCTGATGCTGGGAAAGATTGAAGGTGGGAGGAGAAGGGGACAACAGAGGATGAGATGGTTGGATGGCATCACCAACTCCATGGACATGGGTTTGGGCAAGCTCCAGGAGTTGGTGATGGACAGGGAAGCCTGGCGTGCTGCCGCCCACTGGGTTGCAAAGAGACATGACTGAGTGAACTGACTGATTTAAAAAAAAAAAAAAAGCAACTGAGATTGCACGTGGTTTACAGAGCCTTACCTGACCTATGACAAAACATTTGCCAACCCCTGAACCAGACTAACAACAGCATGCTAAACACAAAGAAATACACCTTGGCCTAAGACCATGCCAAGTACACTGTTGTTCCACCTTCATGTGATGAGAGACCTGGCCAGAAGAGCACTGAAAGGCATGCCTAAGTTTATTCTTCTCTAGAGTTTAGTTTCACCATCTTTCAGATTCACAGAATTCCTAAAGTTAAACCTCAAATCCCTCCTTAAGTTGGGCGGGCAAGGCCCAGATACGAGGCAGTCTGTGACAGGGAGGGAAGCCCAGCTGAAGCACAGACACTGAAAGGTACTTGGGTTCCCACTGGAGTCATTTACATGGAAAGTTCGTAACAGCAGTGATATAAACAATTGTAGTAATTTACAAACAAACCTCTATAACAGCAGTGATATAAGCAATCTAGGGTGACAGTCTCCCTATGACAGTGCTGGGAAAAACTGTATAGTCCTTATTGTACTGAAAAAAGGATGGTTTCAGCCCATGCCTCTTTTCCTGAACAATCAAGTAAATTTGGAACCTGGCTTCTGGCCAAAGTCAAGGGGCGTCAAAGTCAGTTGCACATCAATTGGCTACATGGAAAGGAGCCCTGCCCTTTGCTCCCACCAACCTAGGTGTTTTTCAGGGGGCTAACTCCTAGCACTGTAGGGTGTGCAGGGTTCCTGCTAGAGAAGAACAATGGTCAGGTATTTTAAGAGCCATTTTTAACTAGAAGTTAATTTCTGGGTGTCAGGAATTGACAGGGAAGTTTTGGCTATCAAATTTGACTCCTCAAATGACTACATCTTCCAAATCTGGGACTGGCCCATGATGCCAAGATGCCTAGGAGAACAAGATGAGTCATTACCTAAGGAATGTGTGTGTGGCAGGGGGCGGGGCGGTGGGTAGTGGTTTAACTGCTGTATATAAATACGAAAGCTGGAAAGCAAGGAGACATCTGTGTATTCAGGGGCTGAAATAAAAGCTGGAGCCTACATCCACATCAAGTCAGTATTTCCACTGCTCAGTCAGTGAAACCCAGTGCGTGGCTGCTGTAGCCTGCCTACTTCTTCAAAGTTCTTGGTCTACGACAAACCTCATCTGAATTTGTTGTTATTGTTGTTGCGTTATACCTGTGCATCTAAATGGCTCATACAGACCCAATTACCAAACTAGAGTTAAGGTAATTTGCCCTCTGCATATATCCTTAATTTGCCTCTTTGTTCCTGGGTGTCCCCAGGGCAGGCTAGCCATCAAGGCCCTCTATAGTTTCATCCTCCATACACTGATTTCATATTTCACAAGAAAAGCTCATTAAATGTTTCTGTTTGAGCAAATATACATATATTTTAAGGTTAAAGGAGCAAAGAAGAGCAAAAGTAAAGGTCTAGAGTATGATAGGGCTTCCCTGGTGGCTTAGAGGGTAAAGGTCCGCCTTCAATGCGGGAGACCTGGTTCAATCCCTGAGTCGCGAAGATCCACTGGAGAAGGAAATGGCAACCCACTCCAGTATTCTTGCCTGAAAATCCCATGGAAGGAGTAGCCTGGGAGGCTGCAGTCCATGGGGTCGCAAAGAGTATGATACGTCTGAGAATATTCTTTGAAATTCAAGAGTGGGTTGAAGTTACATGTCGCCGTTCAGTATCAACCAACCTCAGATTCTTAGGTCTCTCATAAAGAAGGACTCAAAGATACTGACACACGAGTGAATAACAAACCACAAAAGCTGCCCTGGTGGTGTCTGGCTCTGGGGCATACAAACATTCAAAAGCCATTCACTGTAGTCACAAACTTTGCTTTGGGAAAAGTTCTCGGGTTATGTTAATAGCTCCAGCCTTTCCCTCCTCCCCTGATCCCCACGCCCTATTTAAAAAGAAAAAAAAAATGGTGGCTCTCTTTAAGAAGAATGGTAGCTTTTCCTAGTAAGATAAATGAACTAAACAGTATTTGTTGTTACCACCATCAAATAGCTCTTCCCTGATAGCTCAGTTGGTAAAGAATCTACCTACAATGCAGGAGGCCCTGGTTCGATTCCTGGATTGGGAAGATACCCTGCAAAAGGGATAGCCTACCCACTCCAGTATTCTTGGGCTTCCCTTGAGGCTCAGCTGGTAAAGAATCTGCCTGCAGTGCTGGAGGCCTGGGTTCAATTCCTGGGCTGGGAAGATCCCCTGGGAAAGGGAAAGGCTACCCACTCCAGTGGCCTAGAGAATTCCATGGACTGAACAGTCCATGGGGTCACAAAGGGTCGGACATGACTGAATGACTTTCACTTTCACCATCAAATAAGTCACATTTCCTATGGCACAATTTCGGAAACATTTCAGTATTTTTGAAAAAGGAAGTTCTGAATTTTGTTGAATTGGTACAATCTCTTCCTCACAAAATTAACACACGATGAAAGCCTTGCAATTTCCAGAGATGTTGAAGAAGCCAAAAATTAGCTCTATTGAAAAGGTTTTGAAGTTGTGGATTTGAATCTTATATAACACATCTGCAATTTTTACATTTTATAAATTTTATGCTCTTTTAATTTCTGGAGTTTGGTTTTTTTCAAATAAAAGTAAGATTCTGGTAAAACTGATATTAAATTCTTCCTAAATGAAACCAACTAAGTAACTTCCAGCGGGTAATCTTAACAATACACATCATGAATCTTTACTCCACATCATAGATTTAATTATCATACAGCACTTGTGATCTGAGGGGAAAGGGTAACTGGAAAGAGCCAGATAACAGCAAATTTACACAGCACAACTATATAAAAGTCCACTTACAAAGAAAAATTACATCTGATCTGTAAGGGTAGAGATCTCCTTTTCCCACCAAATTTTGATAATTTTATACATAAAAAGAGGATCGATAAAAATAAGTCAATTAAATTGACCTTTGAAAACCCTTTGCAGTGCCCGAAAGCCTGGTCTTCCACTAATTGCTCTCGAAACACATTCATCTCTAGTTTGATATGCAAAGTGCCAGTCTTCTCCAACTCTCCACTGCTGACTTTGTATAATACAAGTGCAACTAAAATTGCTCCTGCAGCAACTGGCTCTCCCTGAAGCTGAAACCTTTCTAGTCTATGGAAAGCAGTCGGCAATGTTTCGCAAAGTGGAAGAAAACAAGACTTGCTCAGATGAGAGCAACAGAGCTGCCTTCACATCCAGTAATCACAACTCCTCACCCCAGCAGCCCCCGACGCAGAGAAAGCCAAGCTGCTCAGCACCCACACCGTGCAGATGAGGCCAGGGCTCCAGCTCAGGGAGAGGCTACGAGGAGCAGCAGCACCACCTTGGCCTGGATTTCAGAGCAGTGACCTGCTGAGATGACACAGGAGCTGTCTGTATATTCCAGAAAACCTTTTCAGAAAACATAGCCCAAAGTAAGGGAATATGTCACCTAATTCTGAGCACCAGGCTTGCAGACTTGATGATCTGTTTAGGCTTCTACCACTGTCAGAAAAGTGACAAGTAGCCTAAACAACTTGTCTGCTTCAAGAGTAAAGACTCCCTCTTATCCTGAAGGTTGCCAATTTGCAGCTTGCTATACAATGCACCTGTCTGCTTCCTCTAAATGAAGGACAAAAGTCATTTCAAACAACTGTAACTGGCCTTGGCAGAGCACAGGCAATCCATTCCTCTTCTGAACCTAGTGCAACAAGCAGTGGCTTCCAGTTGACTTGGGCGGTGAGGCCAATGAGAATGTCAGAGGCAGCCGCGCAGGAGAAAACATCAAACCCGAATGTATGAAGTGCCCGCACACATAACCCACCATCAACAGACCCAAAGTACTTACCGCCACGAACATCATGCAGTACATGGAGAATGAAGAGTGGCCTGAATAAAAGGACAGTCTAGAAGAGAAAGAAGAGAAACATGAATCTTCCCTCCTAGAGACCGAGAATATTTTTATTTCATAAATCTTACCTTCCCATTGTATATAGCCCCCTCCCCTTACGTCAGAAGGGTGGGGTGGGAGGACAGTTAAACAGGAACTTTTGAGAGTCGTAGGAGGGTCTGAGGTCTGATTTCTACACAGTATCATTTTATTGATACTTTCAGGATGGGTAATGGGTCACTGACAAATTTGCCAAGCATTTCTAAAGGAAAACGTGAGAAGCTATACCAGCATAAATGGCCTGAGTTTCTCACATAAAAACTTACATGACCATAATTTAAGTTTTATTTTCCACTTGACGTGTGTGTCCCTGAATAGAATAAATACTTTCTTTGGAACACTCACAAGTTGAGTACTTTAAAAAAAATAATTTTAAATTCATATTTTAGCATCTTGCCTTAGATTTCCCACCAGATTAAGTACTTTAGCTTGACATTTATTTGTAAATTGACTGATAGTCCTGTACCAGATTAACCATGTCTTTCAACAGTATATTCTGTAAACATCTAGGTATCATCTTTCTACCTAAAAATAACAGAATGCTTACAAAACTTAATTTTATTGTACTTAAGAATAAAATCAAGAGGAACAGGTTCTGAAGGATTTTACTTATTATGCCCTACTTACTTCAAAAGGGATTTGTTCCCCTGATTCATAAAGGAGAAAAGACTCCTAGAACGCGTGCCAACTAAGATTTATGTAATCAAACTTGATAATTATTCTGGGTTTAATATACATAAAACAAGAAAAATAAATCACTTTTAGCGTTCCCAACCACTTGGCTGTCAAGAGATCAATTATTTTCATATTCCATACAAAACTAACTGGTTAAGTCTCTAGGAGATACAGCATCTTATTATGTCCATAATTCACAAATGGACAAATAATTATATGGGCACTTTGATGAAATCCAAAGAGTAGTCAAAATGTAGACTGTTCATCATAGGGACCTCAATTGAAATTTTGTCCCTGGTCTAAGAACCAGCTTTGTTCTTGAGGTTTTAACCAATCCTAGACTCACTTCATTATAGCCAATCTGATGAAATTACATACATATATTAACAATTTAAGCTAGTTCTCCATCAAAGTTTAGGAAAGACTTTTCAAAAAGAAAATTTACAGAGATAAGAACATATTCTGAAATGCAACTGTTTTTATCAGTTCTGTGGCCTGGTCTATTAAACAATAAGCAAGTAGGTTGGTCTTGACTATGTAACTTACTGTGAATGGGATTCTATTTCAAATGGCAAATTTAAGATGATTTTTTTCTTACATCTGTCAGCCAGGTCATCCCTTTCTCCTGGGAGAGCTCATTAAACTTGGTCTAAACCTCAATATCATAGCCTTAAGAGCGTTCATTTACAGCCATCCACCCACCCCGCACCACAACGTCTGAGCTCCTACTCCTCAATTCACCACTCTTCCATCTCTGTATTTCAACAATGACATCAGTGTTCAGCACTGATAAAATGCAAAGACAACCAAATCCAGCTTTTATCAGTCATCAGAAGCAATCAACTCACACAACGTGCTTCTTAATTTTTTAATGGAATTTACTAAATATTCTGGGGCTTATGGGAAGACTAACTCACAAATAACCTCCTAGTCATCTCACTGCTCTTCCTCTACCACCTGACTTTCTTCCTCTCTTTTTCCTAACTCACAAAACAGTGAAAAACACAAAACAGTTACAAATTTGGTTATGCTTTCAGTTTGAAAATTTCTTGAGTTTGCATTAATGCTTGAATGATGATACCTGACTACAGAATGTCTAGGCTGATGACTTTTTTCCTTATCACTTTGAGTATATCATACTATCTTCTGGCTTCTACTTTTGCTGTTAAAATATGAGCTGCCTTTCTGGGTTGTATGTCTTTTCTCTGTAATTGCTTCCTCTACCCCCAAAGTCTTCAATATTCTGCAGTTTTGCTATCATGTTTCTAAGTATGAATTTCCTTTGATTTACCTGATTTAGTATTCGTTGGCTTCCTATGTCTGAGGATTTGTACGCTTCACCAATTCTAGATCAGTCTCAGTTATTACACCTTTGAATTATGTATCCCCCATCCTATTTTCCTTTCTGAGATTCTGATTCAACATGTTAGACATTTCCATTCTGTCCTTCCAAATCTCTTAAACTTTCTTTTCTATTTTTAATCTTGGTCTCTTCAGGTCTATCTTCCCTCCCTTCACTGTGTCTAGTCTGCTTAATCTGTCTTTTCATTTAAATTACTATATATGTATCATTTACAGATCTTTCTGGATCATCTGCAAATCTGTTTGGTGAATTTTGATTCTCATCATCCTGCATCATATTCTCAACCTGTTTGCTCCTATACAGCAGATACGTAATTCTAGTATCTGAATCTTTGAGAGTTTATATAGTTTGTTTTTCTGCTGACTCTCATATTAGATAAGAGCTCATATTCTTGGGACTCAGTCTGGGGACTCTGAAGAGTATCTGGTTGAAAGCGCATTCTTCCAGATATATGTGTTCTCTTCTGCAAGATTCACTATCAATCCACTTCAGTTTTTTTTTTTTTAAGCCACATAGATAGTACGAAATCTGACTCCATAAAAGTATGAGTGTGGTATTATGGTTAAGGATTCTTCTTGATGAATTTTTTCTGGGAGAATGTTTCCCTTTGGGAGTCCTTTTATTATCCACAGGCCTTCCATCTATCTTTCTTCACTGTGCAGCCTTTATCTCCTGTGCCATGTTCAGAGACTATCACAATTCAGGCTCTAGGTGACCAGAAATTGGCAAGTACTTTCACAGCACACTTCAAATCTATGTCATTAACTGACTCCAACCTTATAAAAATTCCTTTACTCTTCCACCAGCTCAGCTATTTATTTAAAAGATTTATATGTGTTTGTATGGATGTGAGTGTTGGACTATAAAAGCTGAGCGCTGAAGAATTTATGCTTTTGAACTGTGGTGTTGGAGAAGACACTTGAGAGTCCCTTGGACTGCAAGGAGATCCAACCAGTCCATCCTGAAGGAGATCAGTCCTGGGTGTTCACTGGAAGGACTGATATTAAAGCTGAAATTCCAATACTCTGGCTACCTGATGCAAAGAACTGACTCACTGGAGAAGACCCTGATGCTGGGAAAGATGGAGAGCAGGAGGAGAAGGGGACGACAGAGGATGAGATGGTTGGATGGCATCACCGACTCGATGGACATCGGTTTGGGTGGACTCTGGGAGTTGGTGATGGACAGGGAGGCCTGGCATGCTGCGGTTCATGGGGTCGCAAAGAGTCAGACACAACTGAGCGACTGAACTGAAATTGATATGTGTTTTAAGATTTATATACTTTTAATATATAAAACAATATGTATATTGTGATATATCATCTAGCATGTTTAGTTGAGGGCTTCCCAGTGGCACTAGTGTTAAAGAATCCACCTGCAAAGCAGGAGACGCAAGAGATGTGGGTTTGATCCCTGGGTTGGGACTATCCCCTAGAAGAGGAAATGGCAACCCACTCCAGCATTCTTGTCTGGAAAATCCCATGGACAGAGGAGCCTGGTGGACTACAGGGGGCCACAAAGAGTCAGACATGACTGAACACATGCACGTGTTTAGTTGAGTTGTATCAGTAAGCATTTCTAATCCTCCATGTTGCTAGAAATAGAAGCAATCTTTTTTTAAATCTTTGTTTTTTAAAACAAGACTTAGAACTAATAAAATGCTATCTAAAATAAACTGCTCTACTAAGAGAGACATCAGTTTGGCAACAGTTTGTTTTTAATTATAAAGTGGCCACCACTCACAGAAGTTGCCAATTATTACTATTCTACCAGTACTGAGTATGCCAAAGTGACTCCACTGCAAATTAGGAGAGCTTCCTTTTTTCTCTAAAAATCATCCTGATATCAATTCCTAAAGCATTCTAAAGATGAAAGATTCTCAAAAGACTGTTAATGGTTACAAGCCACTGAGTACCTTCTATGTTCAGGCACTTATTGATACACAGTATTTCTACTCTTTAGGAAAACACCCAGAATAGGAACTACCAAACGATTTCACACACAGAGCAAACTGAACCTACTAGAAGCTCAGCAGCTAACTCAAAAATCACATCACCCTGAGGGTTAGACCTGAATCTTCCCACCTCTTTCCCACCATGCCATGATTCCACTCCCGTGAACGGCAGGCAAGCCAGCAGCAGCATTAATCCTGCCATCTCCAGGCAGGGAGCACCCGTCAGAAGAAACAGGACTCCCTGTTTATATAAGGCAACATGTGTGAAGTAAAGTGACATATTGTTTATATGTAAATAATCATCTTAAGCGAATACTAACATGTCCTTTGTATGCTCTAAAGCTCAAATAAAAGGAAGTCAAATTGCAAAACGAGGCATTTTTCTCCAAATGGTATTTCCTGATTATAGAGTTTACACAACAGCAAATTAACTTGAAGGGCATGTTACATTTCCCATCAGTGATAGCCTTTAAATATGGACCAGTCCTGTAAAACAGGTAAACTATGTCCCAACCAACTACACATAGGAGGAACGACCCTGAATGACCAATCTCCCCGGCGTTTTATTTCTAAAGGGTTTTTTTTCCCAACCAGTAACTGTTAAAAAATGCTTAAGCAATAAGACATCAAGTTATTATCTTAAAAAATTCACTTCTGAGATACTTTGGCATTCAAGTAGGTTATGAAGGAAAGATGAGTACTTTTATACTGAATTGAAAAAGCTCACACTTGTTGGAGAGTGGTCTGGCAACATGTATCTAAATGTACCTATCTATATATAAAACCAGCATATTTTTTGACCCAGTAATTCCACATCAAGGCATCGAGGCATCCTAGAGAAACAGCATGAGCACAAAGATGTCTGCTACAACACTGCTGGCCACTCAAGGATCCAAGAGAACAATTCTATCACGAATTTTCTGAACACAGTACTACAAGTCAGCTAAAAAGTAATGCTGTGTAA